AGCCCCCAAAACGAGCACACTGATATAAGATACCATGTTATAATATAGTAGTACATAGGATACTCTAACGCCTGTTTGCGCGGCTGGACGATGGCCTTTGTGTTCATGTTATTTCATGTTGTTGGTCTGGGTTCCTGGTAAGGAATTTTTATTCAAGTTACCAATCAGCAAACCATGTTTCTTCCTGTAGATCCCCGTTGTGGTAACTTGAAGCTCCTCCATGCTCAGGAGACAGCCTTTGTGCTTCCTGTCAGTGGGAAAGGCCGCGCCACGAAGGACGATGCCTGACCATGCAAGTGAATGGTTGTTTGAGCACGGTGGTTTCATTTAGAAGGAAGCTGTGGTATTAAGTCTTCCGAGACTCGGGACATCAGCGTGTCCCCTTGTCCTGCATCTACGGTTGTTGCCGGTGCAAGCTTTGCATGTCCGGCATGTCACTGTCGAGCCTGATTCTCTTCCGGAGCTTTCATCGCACGAGCCTGCAGCAACACAGCCGCCCGATCATCTTCAGCAGATCCAAGAGTTTCAACGAACAACGAGCCAGCACAAGTCCCTGGAAACTATCTTCAACTGGACAGTCGAAACATTCGGAGACATGGTAGCAAGCCCATCCCCCACTTGCTCTCCTGCTGTCCCTGTTTCGGCTTTGCCGCGAGCCATGAAGGGCAACTCGGGTTCCATGTGTCCATGCCGGTCGCGGCTCTGGGCCGCTGTGGCTTCCGGAATAAGTGTACAGCAAGATCACAACGTTTCAAACTACCCGAGGAGAAATATGTAGTTGTACTTGTAGATTTGATATGTTTTGTGGATATACAGACTGATTGAAGCGTCAGCCCAGGCAGTTTGTATCATCTGCACCGTGCTGGGCTCTGGCTGGATGATGTCCACACGCTGTGTGTTTGAGGTGGCACGTCGGAAAAACCATAGGCATATAACACTCTGTGTGCGAGCCTCGACCTCGGCATGCAGACTACCAGGAAGCATCCCTTCCTTCCGATCAAGTTCCCTAAACCCTCTGTTGGTTATTTACTTGTCTTTTATCCTTTCGGGGATTGCCAGCTGCCGGGGTAGTTGCATGTCACAGTAGCAATCTCGGACGCCTTCATCCATGCCTGCCTTGTGCGAGTGTGTGTGTGTGTGTCGAAACCCGTTTCATGTCCACCTATCTGTCTTTCAATAGCCTTCTGAGTTCTCCGACTGTTCCGCCAAGTCGTGAGAGTCGAATCCTCAATTCAAGCCCCGCTGAGATTCGAGCATTCACACTCTCAGTATCCCTACATACCCTGAAACCCTAAGCCCTACTTGTACCCTAAATACCCGGATCTTCCCAAAGCCTTCACCCAACAGTCTGAGTTGGTGCATCGTAGAGTCGTCGCCAGGCGGGAGGCAAAAAAAAAAAAACAGAAGACCCGAAGGTGGCAGTGCTGTTTCTAGCCATTGCGGCACTTCTTCTGCTTTGGACCCTGGCTTGCCGGCCAACGCTTCTCGGCTCTGTTTTTGAGGTTTGAGGGGCACGCTAGGGTTTTGCAGACTTGTTTCCACGGTATGTTGGCGTGTTTGCGGGTATGCATTAGACTTGGTCGTTGGGTTCGAGGGGGCGACCCTGACAAGGCTTTGCATCTCGGCTCTCTACCTGGCGATTTGCTTTGCAATCCTCATCCGAGCCCTTGATTGATCAGATGGCTTCAGCACGGCATACTATACAGTAATAGAATAGAGCATAATCAAATGCAGTATACAATGACATAGGTATATAAGGCTTTCTGGGGGTTGGGCCGTAGGTGCGAAGCTGAGAGCTGTTGGTCTCGGAGCTGATCCTTCGCAGTTTTGACAGACACGACAGCGCATAGGTTGGCTGAGAGTTGGTTTTGGATTCTGCACGTTTTGCTTTGCGGTTTGCGCAACATGTCCTCTGTACTCTGTACTCTACGGGTCGTCTTATTTGAGGGCTCGGGCTCGGATCAGGCTTTGCCATAGGGCCTTAGGGTCCGTTTTAAAATTGCCGTGCTGCCACTGGCATCCTTTGGTGTTATGAACTGCACTTGCAACCCCGCAGTGCATGACGGCCAGGAGAAACGTTGCTCACCGTCACAGGGCATGTGCCATGTGGTCTACCCACCTTCGGGAGCGAATGCGCCGAAACTCAGTGTCAGCAGAAGCTTGGCAAAGGTATCTTTCATCCGGTCTGTCTCCTGGAGGGAGGGGTGAGCTTTTGCAGCTCTTCTCTCTATTGTCACGGCAAAGCGCGAACAACCAATTCAATACTGTTTCGCAGTCGTGGTGGCGGCTAGTGTGCAGTGAAGGATTGAAGACCTTACACCCTCTTGTTATAGCCAGACCGCATTCGACCTCAGAGGTGAGAATCGTCTCCGAGGAGCCTTAAGCCTTCGCCGCTTCAGACATGAATCTTAATGTCTGCACACATGCAGGCAACTTTGAACAAGTGTCTATAAACAAGTCTAAAAGCCAGGGGGTAATGCAGCATGCATAGAGTTAGTGAGATCTCAAAGGAAGAGCTACTTCCTGTTCTTCGAGACGGGCTGCGCCAAGCACCTCTGCGTCCGCACGGAACGCTTGGAGGTCCAATCCGTTTTCAAAGTTCCGGCCAGCGAGCTCCACACCGAGTCTAGGCATTGGACTTAGCATGCATCTTCAATTGCAGGTTTGATGTAGCTACGAGGACTGAGGACTACTTTCTCATCTTGTTGCTGCCGCTGCCACTCTGTTGTTTGGTTCCATACCATCAATGCGCGTACAACGAGACTTTGGAGATTATCCACGTCTGGTCGGTGGTGTCAGTGTGAACCGCGCAGAAACCTGCCGGCTCATTTCGGCGTCGTATGTGTCTGAGTTACGAGCTGAGGTGTGGCTGATTACTGGCTTGGCCTTTGCTTGGGCCACCCTCTTGCTGACTGCACTCCAGCTGAAGCAGTGGATGACACCAGTCACTTGGCCTTGCTGCGGTTTCTGAGAAGTCTGGTCAAACCAAAGGCTTTTTCAAACTGTAGAGCTGAGATGGACGCAGGGCGTTGTCGAAACAACAGCATGAACTGATAGTTGTTGACGGTCCAAGTGCCTGGCTTCCATCTCATAAACCCGAAACCCGAAAATTTAAGACCCCGTAAAGAGGCGGGCTTCGTCCTAGCCATGCGAGAGGCAAGAAGCAATCCAAGATAAACGTATATAACATGTAAATCCCCAAGTCTTACTGAAGCTCTCGACAGGTTTTTGGCGGACTGCCAGCGGAGCGCGGGCACTCCATTGCCCGTCTGACGGCCATTGTGCTGCGCCTGGGACACCTTTTTGACCATGAAAGTATGGCAGCGGTATAGTGGTGTTAAGAGCCAGGCGAGATTTCGTGGTATGTCTCAGTAGGACCATATTGTGAAGTATACAGGGACCATCAGACAGTAGTTGATACAATACACTGTAGGTATATATATATATATACATATACATATACATATACATATACATATACATATACATATACATATATATTTATATGTATTTGTTTATGTAGATGCAGATGTAGATGTAGATATAGATGTATATGTATTTATGTATATGACCATATATATATATAGAGAGAGAGAGATATGTATCTTATTGCTGCCTTTTTTTGATCAACTCCTCCGGGCTATGCTGAGGTCCAGTGCTCCATTTCCTCACCCCTTCCAAGAAACATTGCGGCTCAGGCTCCTCCCGGCCACATACGGCGTGTGCGCCGCTGGAGCCCTGCGGGTGATAACGACGAACAGGGAGGCCCCTGTGGGACGTCATAAGTCTAGGGGTCCGTTCTCCATTCGTCAGTGGTAGTAGTTATTATTGCTACAATTGTTATGATCCCTATATACTACTCTGAATACTAATATGATTCCTATATACCACTATTCATATTAATAATTTCTATGATTATTCTTATCCAATCGGTTTTCTGAAGCTCCTGCTTTCAGCCCTTCGGCGCTTTTAGTTCTCGGCCCACGGAGTAGCTGGATCAGCCAGGGCAGGGTGCTGAACGTTTGTTCTGACGAAAGTAGCTCACAACACAAGACTCTATACATATATATTTTTATTTATGTATTTAT